AAGATTCCGAAAGACAACTAAAAGACAAATGGAAAATTGCCATTTACGTGAACACTTTTGTGACTTACTGTACTGTTGGCTTTTACTACTAAACTATGCAATCAAATTCACTAAAATAGCATCTGTACATATCAGATAGTTCAGTGAGTATATTAGAAATGACACATACGTACAATTCAAATAGCGTAATGTTTTAAATGTCTTTTTTTCAAATGACTGACTAATTGTTTCAGCGAGTGTCGCATGGCATACCTCTATGTAAGTAAGAATGTAAAAATAATACATACAGACATTAGAAACATTTGCCAAGTGCTATGCCGTGGTTAATTTGATTTTTTTGGTTTATTGCAATTTTTTATATTTTTTTTTCGTTAGTAAGCAAATTTTATTAGATATACATACATTGTATTCGTACATAAGCATGAATAAAAAATATTAAAAATGTTCATAACTACAGACTTCGAAGGCAATTGACTACAAAGGTTGTTGCTTTACCGCAAACTTGACAACGGAATTGACAAATTCCACCAAGTCATAGACAATCAGCCAACGATCAACGTGAATTGAGGTAGACAGTACGACAAGCTGGCAGCGTGTCGCTGGCTATGCTGGCTATCCCCCCACATCGCCATAGCCCACCTTCTATAATCTTAACACAAACTATCATCGACTATTGTATTTATGCCAGCTGTGCAAGTGCCCCAAGCGCTTGCCGCTTTCAGGCCTGTTTTACTATATGGAGCAAGCAAACAAATGAGAGACAGAGCAGTAAGTGTACAAGTTTTTGTAGTTGGTTGTGCGCGACGTACATACATACCTACCTACTTTGGGTGCCGCAGCCTAGGCGCGTCTGCGAGCATTTTAGTTTTGAATGAAACAACACGCGCGCGATACGTTGTGTGAGCGGTGAATGGTGAGCAGCGTGGCGTGGCGTAAACGTTTCAGTGACGGAACCGATTTCGAAAACGAAACGTAAGCAAATCAGCTGTTTTTGCGGAAGTGCGTGTGGTATGGTAAAGTGAAAAAAATTGTGGAATGCAGAAAGGAAAAATCAACTGAGTGCCTCCAAGAGCAATTAAAAATGCACAAAGTCAATTAATTACATTGTATGTATTTGTAAAACAAAATTAGTTGAAATTTAAACATGTGAAAAATGATGGCATAGCAAAAGTGAAACGCGGCATTTCCTCTGAAGTGTTATGTAAATATTTAAAAAAAAAATAAAACTCCTAAGTGCAAGCAATAAAAATTTATGTGGTGCATTTAAATAAAAAATATTTAGTGTTAAATATGTATTCAAGCGAATCTCCAAAACGTCTGCGTCATACATATGTACATATATATGTATGTACATTAGATCGTACCACCTAACAAACAAACAAAAAAAGGTTCGCGCTAAAGTATTTTTGCCAGGCAACTTCGAATGTTTTTTTGGCCGAGCCTATGGCTTGCCTTTTTTCCCATTGCGGTGACTCCTGCATTCGTCAATATTATTTTTTGTTTAATAGTTCTACTGGAATAATCAAAACTAGTGAACCCGCATAGCGTTAAAACACCAAAAATTGAATTTCAAAAACTTAAAAAATACTGCAAATGTTAGTCAGAGTTGTAAGAGATCCGAGTGTCATATTTCATCATATGTTTTTCAATAAACAAATGAACTATGTAATTCGAATTTGATTGTTTGAACAAATGGCAACCCTCCTAAATAAAGGTCAGCTTTTCAAAACCATTTCGATTGATACCCAGTTTGTAACAATTGATTTAGTTTTTTAAATAATTTGAATATAATTTTTTAAAAGGTGGCAACTCTTTAAAAAAAAGTATAACCTATTGTGCATCTACAGTCCAATGCTATTAGTTTGAGGCCTCAGTTTGGAAAAATTAACGAACGGTGCGGATTATGGCATTGACTATAAAATAATTTGAATTTAATTTTTTAACAGAGATGAGATCTTATGGGTAAGTACTAGTAGACTCGAGGGAGTACGGCGAACTTTTTTTCTGTTATGGTCTAATGTACATACATTCATACATATGTGTATATTATTTGCTATTTATGTGTACATGTGTACATTAGACTGCCTCACCTTCCAAATAAACAAAAAATTGTTTCTGCTTCCGCAAGCGATTTTTAAAATCTGATAAATTTCATAAGTCCCAGAAAAACACTTGAACTTATTTCAATGTCACGACGTTGTTACGCGGTGTGTTAACCACAAATTTGTTGGTTAGGGCCTTTGTGAATTAAGGTAACGTGATACTGATTTCGTTTAGAAAACTACGAACTTTTTTCGTAATGCACCCTAATGCACATACATATACAAATTTGTAGGTAAAGTGAAACTAATGGTCTGATTATGCATACTTCGCATAACTTCGCATAAACTTCAAACTGTAATTTCGTATGTACTTTGTATGTATTTTGTATGTATTCCATTACCCAGAAATTAGCAGAACTTTTAAAAACTTAGCGATCTGTTGAGTTTAGATTTTGCTTCACATTTTCTTAAGTTACACTTTTAGTGCACTGGTACAAATGGTTGTGCGAAGTTATGCGAAGTATGCATAATCAGACCCTTAAGATGTTGCAACAAGACAAAAAATTACGCTCCCACTCCAACTGATAAATAGCACCCACACTCTCGTTTTGTACGCTCCCATCATTTGCACTTCCTAATATAAATATTTATTTGTTTGCCTTTTGAGGATCACAAATTGTAAATGTGGCGATCGTTTCACACTCACTCAATACACACATTCGGCAGCAGAAAAAGCAAATGTCGCAAGAATCTTTGCACTGTGAGGCGATTAAAATATTTCGGTGTCCAAAATATCTTGGAGTATGAATAGGAAACACATATGCATATATATTAGACCAGCCGTGCCCAGCGCAGGGCACTTGCCTATTGAATTCTGCCAGCGCAGGGCATTGGCTTATGTAGTTCTGCCGGCCTTGAGCATGCCTGTATTAGACTGATTACAAAAAAAAAATCAATTAACTTTTTTTTTTGTATCAAACGCCGCAGAGAGGTATATTCCAATTCTTACGGAGCTGGTGGTATTGCTCAACGTCATTTTACACAGCCGTATTAGTTTCGAGGGGATGCAAAATTCAAATTTTAGTGCTGTCGAAAGCGGCTTTGAAGTCGATAAATAGATGATCAATTTCTGGCATTAATTCACTTTTCAATTGTGTATTTCTGTGATCGTCTTCCTCAGTTTAAATATTCTGTTTTCACGCTAAACATTTTTTGTTAATTTTTTGCATATTATTATACCCAAATTGAATGGACTACAAAACTGCTTACTCGAAATCTTTAAGAAAATCTTGTTAAAAAGTTTGTAATTTTTGATGAAGTTTTCCAGAATTCTTTTAAATTTCTTACTAAGTTTGAAACTTAGATTTATGTGGTGTTTGTTAAAATAAAAGTAATAAAAAATTAACAAAAACTTTTTAACATGAAAATTAAAAATAACTATCGTATACAGAATTTTGTGAGTGAGTGTTATTGATTTAATAAAAATTTTAATACAAATAGAAATGTGTAAAAAATGTTGTTTCTGATGCTTATCGCTCATTAACTTCAATAGTGTCATAATAAAAAAAATGAAAATAATGAGTTAAGTATGCACAAAGTACCGCTACGGCTTCTTCTATGTTGTCTAAAAATTTCATAACTGTATCGATTAGTAGTGTCTCACTATAACAAAATACATGTTTTCCATATTTACAATGGGAGGATATGTAAATTCTAAACTTTAAAGCCGTTTTTCTCGAGTTTTGCTTTTTGAGTTATGACACTTTTGAATTAAATGAGCGATATGTATTGGAAACAACATTTTTAACACATTTCGTTTTTCATTCATGTATTTTGTATTTATTAAATTTTAATTGTCAGAAAAAAATATTCAAGAGAGTAAAATATATGTAGGTTTTTTCTTTATTTTAGTCCGTAAGAAAATTTAAAAATTTTCACAGTTGCGCCCTCTGGCGGAAGTTTTAAGAAAAAGAAAAGTCCAAAAATGGATTTCTCATACCAAAAAACCCTTATAGCATGTCTTTATTCAAACTTAATTACTTTTTTACGACACTTATCAATACTATGCACACCCATATGCTGGCACATTTTGACTATTTGTTTTGTATTATTATTTTTTAATTACATTTTTATAAAAGCATAGTTCATGCTATAACAAAAATCCTATCAATACAGTTTGTACAATAATTCAAAAAAATCAACAAGGCTTCACCAAAATCTTTCACTTTTCATTCATTTCAGGAAAAAAGTGTGCAAACTTTATTATACTAGAAATGAATGGGCTATAAAATTGCGTACCGAAAATATTTTTAAACATCGGAATAAAAAGTGAAATTTTCACTCTTGGTTTAATTTTTGCACAAAGTTGGAACGAACTGCATATATTTTTATGAAAAATAGTAAATAGTCAAAACTTGTCAATATGTGGCTGTCGCATATTTATGATAGGTTAGCAAATTTAAGCGAAATCGATGTAGTTTAACCCACGGTATTTATTCAAGGCTTGTTTCCGAAATGCTCCACTATGCACCGTTCTCATACGTCATTTATAGATTAACGCGGTTACTGAGGCCACCAGTGCGTATGAAAAAGGGGGAAGTTTTCATTTTCTTTGCAATGTGATTACATGCTAGTACATACATACATACATATCGTCGTTTAAAGTATAAAACGTCGCGTAGCGTCATTCTGAAAAACCGCGTAACTGAAATTTTTTGCCAAGCATTGGATTTGCTCACCGAAGCTCTTGGCTAAAGCCTTATCCATTCGTATATATGTACATACATATGTATGTATGAATGTATTATTAATCTCCCTCAGCATACTGTATCTGGCAATGCTTTGTTTATTCTACTGCATATCTAATTTTTTGTTTTTTTTATTGTTTTTTTGTTTATTTGTTTGGTGGTGTTTTTGTTTATTTTTTTGGTTGTGCTTTTTTTGTTTTTTTTTTTTATTCCCACTGCTTTTGCTTTTGCTGCATTTAAAAAATAAAGTAGTTTATTTTTCATCATCATTTGCCTTTGTTGTACTTCTGTTCTATAGTATTTTTATGAGAGAGAATTCGTTTTACCTACACACTTCGAGTCTGAAAATATTTGTTTTTTTTTATACTTTTGCACGCGCTCACCACCATTATTGCATCGTAGTACACTAAGAAAATGTGCAGAGTAAGCTCACGAAGAAATTTTTAAAGCTCTCGCGTACATCTTCGCCGTTGTCAGTGTTGCCGCGGCGTTCAGAGGAAACATATCACCAAAATTCCCTAAAACAAGAGTATCATGAAAAAAAATTTTAAGTATAAAAGTATCACTCTTAAAAAAACCCCACGTCGAATTCTTAAATTAAAATGGTAGTTTCAGTTTTTTATTTAGATCGTTGACAGTTTTTACTACTATTCTTAGGTTTTTAACACATGAAACTAAATTTCACAATACTTACTAGATTAATCTGGATTAAATTGTTAGCCCAGTCCCACGCCCACAGCTTCAAACACAAAAAGGAAAAGGAACGACAATATTACCCTGTTCCCGCACTGCCCGATTTAGTGAGAAATTGTTCGCAAAATACATGATTAATGTGTGAAAGCATACGACTTCGTACAATTTCAGACTAAAGCCTGTAGTACGCGACCAGGCTAGTTGTCTGTAGCTAACAGTGATGCCACACGCAAATTAATGGTGGTATGTTCAGTGAAAGAAAACAAACTTAATGTGTTGCCACAAAATCATAAAAGTCTTAAGATGGAAAGAGTTACCCAAAACTTATTAGCAAATCAAAATGTATCAAAATTTATACTAAGCCAAAAATAAAAGTATCTTTCAAAAATTCGATGAAAAACGTATCATTTTGATCCATTTGCTTCAAAACGGTAACACTGGTCGTTGTTTAGCTGGGTTTGCGTGCGTGTGTGCGGGTGTGTGAGTGTCCACTAAAAATGCTCTATTGACTTTGATTGCTTTTACTTGGTTGGCTTTGCTCGTCAATACTTTTGTACCGTTGTATTTTGTTGTGTTTTTGATTTCACTGTTTTGGTCGTTGTCCGCCATGTCTGCTGCTTACTATAGCTGTTCTGTATATGTACGTTTGCTTGGTTGTGATTTCCTTTTATCAATTTCTTGTTTAAAATTGTGCAAGTCAAAAATCATTTTATAACGTTCGTAGTTCGCTTAACGGTCAGACGCGCTGCCGTTGTGTCTCCACGAGACCAAATAAATACTTAAAAAAATATTAGGTACTAGTAAATGGTATTTAGAGTCTCGTATGGTACATAAGACAGTTGGAGTTTGAAGAAAAGTATAAGACGGGAATTCATTGCGTGCTGTGAACTTTCTCGATAGAATTTAAAATTTTTTTTTCGATTTTTTTGCGCATGAAAAATTGCTGTTTCATGCTATAACGTAACACTGCCAGCGTAAAGTGCAGAATACTATAAACTAACGATTTTTATAGTACACTAATGCATCTGCGACGCTTCTGGAAGTGAGTGAGTTGACGGTTGAAGAAAACTGCAATAGTTTTTCTGTTAAGTTCGAGTCAAGTAGGTTAATTGAACTGAACTTTGAAAGAGAAAAGTACATTGTAGTGTTTATTTCATGGTGAATAACAGACAAAATCACCGTATTCTATTAGAAATTATTTCTACTAGTGTGAGCGCAACCAGGCAGCAGTTGCCATCAGTAAAACAGCTGCATACCAGAATAGAAAATTCGAACAAAGAACTAAACGATTTTATCAACGTCAGTTTTAGCCGTCAGTAGACGGTCAAAAAGTAATATATTCTATATGCTAATAATTAATTGTGGTTTCTAAGTTACAGCAACAAAAATTCAAAGTGAAAGCTATCTACTTGCGAGTAAAGGAAAATATAAATAAATGAAAAGCATAAAGAAAGAGGCAAAAATAATTCTTTCTACCTGTTTGTAAATAAAAAGAAGAAGAACAAGAGAAAAAATAATAAAAAAAATCAAATAAGACAGCAACAACAAAACTTCGAAGAAAGCGTCGCTTAACTCAGCTTTAATTGAGTTCACTGTCTAAAGGTTGGCTGTGTTTTGTTTCGATTTCACAACGTTTCGCCGCAGCTCAACAGCGTCTCGGCACACAAATCTTTCGCATATACATACATACATATGAAATTTTTAAGTTTAACTTTGAAATAAACGAATATGCATTAAGTTAATTCGTTTTGTATGCAATGCAAATGTAAACAAAGGCGGAGGTGCTCAAAAATCAGCTGATTTCGTGACACAGTAATGCACGGTTGAAAAAAATAAAACACAAATCAAAAAATTGTTATGTACATCAAACAATAATTAAACGAATTTAAATATTTAGAAAGTGAAGTGCAGTGCAGCAGTTTGCTAAAAGGCGCAGAAGAAAACAAGCAACAGCAAAGGTGTAATCATCAAAAAAAAGTATATATAAATCTCATGCAATCATAGTATTTTCGCAGAAATCCCTAAAATAATTGCGCTGACGTCAGCTACAGTGGCGCGACAGCTTATGCGAATATGATGTGTATGCTTTTACTTACATACGTAGATATATACATACATACATACATACATGCATACATATGTATCGCGCAGAAAGCAGCATTTAACAAATTGTTTAAAAAGTAAAAATAATAAAATAATAATCAGCAACAGACTGCAAGCCGTAGGAAAAAAGCGAGCAGTGAATTGTGTCAATACCAAATGTAAACAACAACAAAACGTTGCGATTTAGTGCGACTTCAAAGTGACATATGTAGCGATTTTTGTGGGTGATTTTTTTCCGAGTACATACGAACGAAATGCACTGCGTTTATTAAGTTGAGGAGCGAGTAACGTGATATTCTACGAAGGTAAATATTTTGAATCAATATGGTTTAAATTCATCAAAGAAATGTACGCAAATAAAAAACATTAGGGTGGGTCACTTTTTTCTACGTGTAATTCTAAGCAAATTTGCCGAAGAAACTAAAATAATTTGAAAATGTTGACTGTTGCGCCCTCTGGTGGAAAAATAAAGAAACAGATAACCAAGAACTGGATTCCTCATACAAAAAAACTCCTTGTAGCATGTTTTTATACAAAATTTAAGCATATCTTTACGAAACTTCAGCAAAAGGCTAAGAAACCTATTTTCGCAATTTGGCAAAATCCAAATTGATTTTTTTAGACCCTCTGTGCCATACGCGCATAATCTGAAAAATTACCCATACAAATTGACCCGCCCTATTATACATACATATGTACATAGATAGTTACATAATTAAAAATCGTCGATGAATTTGCCAAACAGCCCATCGACCAGTTGCAAAACTACCTAAATCGCCGTAGTGGCAAAATGAAATTTGGTAACACTAAACTTTAGGCATCGTGCTTCATGCATAAAAATCGTTATTCCAACAACAGATGTCTAAAATAACAGCTAGAGGAAATGCCGTTAAAACCCCAGTTTTTTGGTATGTTGTAAAATTTTAGTGCCGCAAGCAAGTCTGCGACATTAAAAAACTGTAAATTTCTGGAAAAACTTTTTCGATCAAAAAAACGTTAGCCTTCAAAAACGAGGAGTTTTTAATATATTAATTTTATTCAACATAAAAAACAAACAAACTATTCATTTTAGGGAAAATAACATAAACCGTTTAATCCAGTGGGTCCACGGCGACGTGATCAAAATATGGGGGTCCATGAGTTGTGAATGAGGGTCCACGAAAATTTATCTGGTTTCGAAGTAAAGAACCAAAATGATTGCTTGATAGCCTTTTTATTTAAATTTATTTTTTTTTGAGTGGTACTTTGGGTTTTCATACGTGGGGAAGCCTTAGAGGCCACCTGCAGACTAAAAAGAACCGGACGCTGGTATGACAATGAGTGGGCGCCGCTAAAATTGCTGGCGGCAGAGATTTAAGCAATTCTGTCTTTTCAATGCTACAGGATAGTACCATTACCTTTGTTGAAGAAATTCTATAATGTTGAGTTCCCTGAGACTGAATGCTGGTTTGATTCCAAAACTGATTCTGGGTCATGATCTGGGGTTTTTTTCGAGGTTAATGGAGATAAGATCCACTTTTATGTAGGGGAATATGCTTCGGTCTTCCAGGCTGAGGTAGTTGCAATACTCAAAGCTATGGACTACGTGGTAGAACATAGGTCGAGGGGAAGGAGTTTACGTGACCGCAGTGACAACCAAGCTGCACTTAAAGCATTGACCAGCCCCCTATTTAACTACTTCCAAACTAGTTCGGCAATGCAAGTCTTGATTAAAAAATGATGGTGAACATAACGAGGTTGTTTTACTCTGGGTGCCAGGTCACTCTGGAGTACCTGGTTATGAGACATCTGATCAATTGGCCAGATTTGGCTCAGACCAGGCATTCCTCGGTCCGCAACCAGTTTTAGCACTCCCACCTTCGGCAATCGAAGCCACCATAAGAAACTGAGTGAATACTTCGCTCAGAAATGACTGAGAGGCATCGAGGGGATGCAGGTGGACAAAACTCATATTGCCTTCAATCTCACAAGGTCTATCTAATTTTTTGCTCTCACTGAGCAGACGCCACTGCAGACAACTTGCTGGACTGCTGACTGGTCACTTCACGTGGCACAAACACCTGATTGTGATAGGCGTAAATGACAAGTCCATTTGCCCATCTTGCCTTGAAGAAGATGAGACGGTGGAACACTTTTTCTGCTTCTTCCTTGCTTGGTTATTTGTCATCGATTTTTTTTAACTCGTTCTTTTCTCTATTGTCAGTTTCTGAAAAGTTTGGCGTAAAAAGCTTAGCCGTTTTTATGTTTTAAGTTTTGTGTTTTATAAACGTGAAAAAATATTTTTCGCCTCATTTTAAAACTCGGAGCGATAAAAATAAAAAAGATGCCATTAACACAAATAAACTATTTTACATATACTCCACGTGCAAAGT